GTTAATTAACTCTGGGTGTTTATGGCCTCGTGGCTCCTTTTGTGTTAACCACTTCCTGCTGGTTGCTGAGTGGGTGTGGGAGGGTGTGAAGGAGGGAAATTAGACTCGGCTCTTTCTGGACAAGGTTAAAGTAAAAGTGGGTTTCATGAAGGAGTGGGGACTTTGGGAAATTTAGGTTAGCTGTTGAGCCTCACTCAGGAGAAGAACTTAAAGGCTGCTTGGAGGTGCGCTGTCTCTCCCCAGCAAAGAGGAGTGCGGTGCAGACCTAGGGAGAAGGACTCTGGGAAAGCCATCCTCACGATGTTCTTACCACAAACCAAAGTGCAGCGTGGCACTGGGGAGGATGATTCTGGCCTCCCTGACCTGTCAGATGAGCTCAGTGGGAAAGGTGGAGACACAGCTGCTGAGAGACAGAGGTCGTGAAGAGGGCCTGAGGCTGGCGGAGGCGGACGAGCCGGTGGCATCGCGTTGGTATTCGGGCTGTATCGGTCATACTCAGAATCAAAACTTGGGAGAGGTCTCTGAAAATCATGTGTGCTGAACCCTGCCTTGGAGTCTTCTGTCTCATATCCGGGGTCACCAGCATCCTGGTTTTCCCAGGACTGTTTTGGTTTTAACACCGGAAGTCCCAGGAACCCCACTCAGTTCTGGGAAAACACACATCACTAATGCCCTTGGCACTCTTTGGAGACATATAAATCCATTTGGAGACTCTCAGGGAATTAATTAGATCATCAATAACTGACTGTTGGGGGAAAATTGCCCTGTTTATGCCCTGTACTCTTTCCTCTAAGTGCCTGCATGTGTGATCATGCAAGTGTGTGTATGTTTCCTGAAGCCTGGAGCACTCTGCATTTGGCTCTGAAGGTTGGCAACAGATCAGGCTGAGCTAAGACTGTTGCCCAGGACTGAATCTAGAAGCTTCCTTACTCTCTTCCCTTGACACAACCACCAGTAGGTTCCCATTACAATACTGCAGTTCCTGATTGAATTATTTTAAACATCCTTTCAGAGCTTCTGTTTGACAACCACCTGTAAGTCTCTTCCTTATTGCCTTAGGGATGGGCCTTTGCCAGGTTGTAAACTCTAATCTGTGTTGACTAGTTGGATCCCCACCACCTCTGATTCTCACCCCTATACACACAGACATTTACTAAAATCCCATCTTTTTGCTTCATTCAAGGGAACCACAGATCGCTTATGTTCGAGCAATGGTGAGATTCGTTATTAACTGGAAAATCACTCACAGTTTACAGCTCAAAACCACCAAAACTCACTCAATTAAAAAGTTACTCCTTGATGAAAAAAGGCAACTTAATGGCAATGCAGTGTGGTTTGCAAAGCGAAGGACTGAATCAACTCAGCCCCCAGTTTTCTAATGGTACTGCCTTACATGCAGCAGGGGAGCAAGCTGGTGTCATCTGCAGATCATGCAGCCCTCTCTCTGTTCTTCATTCCTTATTCCTTGGGTCATCTGGCCCAGAAGTTCTTCAGAAAGTCCCACTGCCTCATTTTGAGCTTTGTCCTTGGATAGGCAAGGCTGTACTGCCCGTGGGTGGTCTTTGATGGATACCTCCTGGGACAAGGGGGCAGCCTTAGAGCTGAGCGATGGACACACCACTATAAGGAGTCCGCTTCTGGAACAGGACATGAGTGCTCTGTGAGGGTCACATGCTGCGTGGTGAAGACACTGCCTATTGCTCCTTCCCGCTGAGTGGCTTTGGTAGTCAGGGTACACTCACACACCCTTGACCGTCATTGAACTCCACAGAAGGCTCAGATCACTGGGACACACTTGGCAAGGGGTTCTGTCTCCCATTTTGTATCCTTCATACCTAGGGAGGAAGAATTTGTTTTTTAGAGTATGGAACCAGCAAAGAAAGATTGAAGTATATTTCAGTATGTTCTTCTTGCTAAAGCAGGCAAGTTGACTTACCCTGTTTAGAAACTCTTCTCCAGGGAAGGTGGAAAAATGCGTGGTTGACTGGTTAAATTTCAGCACCGAGTTGATGTTAATATGATCTTTAAACATCCAAGTGTGTTGGCTGCCACACAGGAACTCTGATATCAGCTGGAGGGAAGCAAGAGCTGTTAAAGGATATTTTGGCTATTTGAGGTTTTTCCTGAATCGCGAGTCTAATCCTTAACACTCTCTGTAGCTTTGTGCTTTGACTCCATTCCTTTTTTTAATCTCCCAACATAAAAAGAATATTCTAGAAGCTTTGAAAAGTAATACAGATCTTTACTGTAGATTTTCTTAGAGAGGCAGTGCAGGAGCTGTAGAGACCGTAGAAAGTTTCTGAGATCCTTTTTGGACAACTTTCCTCTCCCCCAATGTTTCCTTTCACAGAATCTGCTGAAAGGCTCTCTCCTCTTTTCACGAAGCCCCTTCACCTTTCCTCCCCGCTTCCCTATTGCGTTTGGCTGTCTCCCTCAGCCCCCTCCCAAAAGCCTGCTTTCTTCCAAGACTGTCCCAGCTGCCTGAAGCCCAGGGGAAGTGGATCTGGTCTTACCTCTGATCTCTTTTCTTTTGGAAACTCGGCACATTGCCTGGATTCTGCATCTGAAAGAAGAACCAGAGTGACCCCTCCATAAGCAGGATGCCTTCCTCCCTTGGGATGGAAGGGAACTGGGGAGGGAGGAGTGCTGTCACACAGGCTGGTATTTTGTGTCTCTACCACACACACTCTTTTAATCACACTCTTAAGAGGAGGATATCTGATCCAGAGCTTAATGTATGCAGTCACCAAAGAAATGAGAAAAAACTAACTGGAGATTTCTTTTCTGGTCCTAGGACTTTGAAGCCTACGTAAATGCTTCTGGAGAACATGGAATCGTGGTTTTCTCTTTGGGCTCAATGGTCTCAGAGATTCCGGAGCACAAAGCTATGGAAATTGCTGATGCTTTGGGCAAAATACCTCAGACAGTAAGAAGATTCTATACGATTTCTTTCTTCCTTCACAAGAGTTCTAATGCCAGACTTCAGTACCTAAATTAATTCTACTAGTTGCGTTTAGACTTGGGTTTCCCTGCCACTTCCCAATTATTAACGCAAATTCTTTTTTGTTTGTTTGTTAGCAATTTCACTCTCAGCTACTCTGTTAAGCCATGGTCCACTTCACCAAGAAGTCTCTTTCTCTCTAAGTGACTCAAAAATATATTAAGGCAAATTTATTTTAAAAACAAAATGACCAGGATAGTATTTCTTCATACCGCATAAGAGTAGTTCTCCAAAAAGCTGTGGGTTTGGACACTGGGTTCATTTCTTATATTTCTGCTTTTATAGTTCTACACCCACTCATTTTATTAAGTAAATATTCCGTTGAAGTGCAGAGAGATGCAAAAATCATAAATGTACAGCTTGATGCATTTTCACAGGTTCACAAAGTGAACACACTCATGGAATCAAGCCTCTGGAGCAAGGCGCCGAATGTTAGCCGTCCCCAAAAGCTTTCTTAGTTACCACACCTCCCACCCTTGCCAAGATTATTTTCATTCAGAAGACTAGTTACTCTAGTTTCTAGAAACTAGTTTCTAGTTACTCCAGCAACTGTCTTATTTAAAAAATCCTATCATGTTCCTCAGCTCTGTTCTTTTGTTTCTGTAAGGTCCTGTGGCGGTACACTGGGACTCCACCACCGAATCTCGCAAAGAATACGAAACTTGTCAAATGGCTGCCTCAAAATGATCTGCTTGGTATGTGAGGAGGATTCGATTGATGTGTAGGTCACATCAAGGTTAAATGAAGAAAGTGGCTGAGGCACGGCCGTTCTAAAGGATTGTTCAGCTGGAAAACATTATGGCCAGTGTATCCCACTTTGCTTTTTACTGGGGCATCTCAACCCACGTTTTCTCCTGCGTGTTTCTGCAAGGGCCACCTGTGGATGGCATGGGGTCCTCAGAGCGCTCTCAGAACCTAGATGATGTCAGATTATGAAGCTCAGTGATCTGACTGCTGGCATCCCTCCCTGTTTTGCTTCTCAGGTCACCCCAAGACTCGTGCCTTTATCACACATTCCGGCTCCCACGGTGTCTATGAAGGAATATGCAACGGTGTCCCAATGGTGATGCTGCCCTTGTTTGGTGACCAGATGGACAATGCAAAGCGCATGGAGACCCGGGGAGCTGGAGTGACCTTGAACGTCCTGGAAATGACCTCTGAAGATTTAGAGAAGGCCCTGAAAACTGTCATTAATGACAAAAGGTAAGAGACAAGGTATCAAGGAACACTACTTGTATTTTGGCCATCGTTTCACAATAAATATTCAAATGTGAAAACAAATTAAAATTGAATTTATAAGTAAGATGCTTTTTTTTAAATAGAATTTATCACAGAAATTATTTTAAATATTATTTCCCCTGGTGTACTTAAAATTCCAATTTATAAAAAATAATGCCAACATAACAGACGAGTTCTTGCAGAGAAACAAGTATTTCATTACAAGAAGCATAGTGTCTGTAAGATAAAAACAAACCAGGTGCTTAGAGGTATGGCTTTTCTTACCACTGAAGCCTGTGAGAGATTTTGTCCATGGGGGCTTATAAATGTGTGTGTGTGTGTGTGTGTGTGTGTGTGAGATGTGATATCACAGACAAAGGCTTATAATAAAAGCTAAGGCAAGTTTGCTCAGATGTGGCTCTGAAATGATTCAAAGGGCAAAAGCCATCAGATAAAATTATCTCTGCATGAAATTCATTGTACTGCTGTCAACAGCTACTAGTAATAAGCTGATCAAAACCCTATGGGAAGAAGTGACGGCCAGGAGTGAACTTCACCCTGTAATCAGTTATGTACGTGTGTGCGCATGTACCTGGGTGTGGATGTGGATGTGGATATGTCTATGAAAACCTTCACCCCTTGTTGCTTCATTTGGAAAGAGACATCCATCAGGAGGACAGAAGTGAAAAGACTGGAGTGTGTTCAGATGGGAGGAAACACTACACAGGGAGACACACCAAGTCTGGACATGGGAAAATGAGGGCAAAATCATGGTGCTCACATGTGTGTGATGCCAGTGCATAGAAAAGAGTTGCCTCCATCACCCCAGGGTAAAGTGCCCTCAGTGTTGGTAACAACCTGCCCAGAGTGGTTGGTGTGGCTCTTACCCATCATTCCAATCAGCCTCTGGCCTCCCAGCTTGTCAGTGTCAGGTCGTGAGGCTCCCATTAGTGGTGTGATTTTGATCTTTTATTCAGTGGGAGGGACAACTACTTATAACTCAAAAATGACTTGGTAGAACTTCTCTGGTACATCACTATTTAAAAAACACTAATCAATCAGCTTACATTATTAACTAACTTCATCTATTCACTTCTGAGCCATCTCTATCTGATTGTGAATCTCCATGTTCCCAACACTCTAAGCTGAGACTGTACCTACATAAAATAAAGAGAAATGGAAAAATTTCCAATATCAGATTATGTAACCAGGCCATAACAGATGCTCAATAAATATTCAATGAATGAATGAAAGTCTAAGAAAATCTATCTTGTTTAAGAGAAGGTTCATATAAAAGGAAGATGTTTAACAGGATTTATGGCCAAATATTAACAATACATTAAAATAATGTATCCAATAAAAAGATGGACATGTTTAAGGACAGCAATGATCATAATTGCTCCTGAATAAGTGTCTTGCTTTTCACTTTCTTCTGTCTTTTCTTTCCCTTTCCTTCTCCTCCTCCTCCTTTTCCTTCTCTTTCTCCTCCTTGTCTTTCTTCTTCTAGTGCATTCATACTAAGGGCTGAAGTGTCTAACCAATTTTGGATTTGGATGTTCTGACTCAGCTATCAACACTGTCCAAAATAAACAGGAATCCATTTTGCTTTAACAGGCTGCATAGACACTGCCTCATGCAAAATTTAGTACCTGGATAGCTTAATGTTTCAACAATTGAATTGAAAGTATACCACTGTCTTGGAGATGGCCCTTAAAAATGTGTTTTACTTTGGCTAGAAGTGATTGTTTACAATCTCATTGAATGGGAAATCATTAACAATTTCCGACATGACCTTTTCCTTTATTTCTTTATCTTGTTACCAAAGAAGGTATGATCTAATTCCCTGAAAAGAAAAGAAGGAAAGTAGGTAGCAAGTTTCAAATAATTTAAAATTATAATTTTGGCTTCCAATTTTCTTTTTCTTTCTTTTAGAGATAAAGAATATTGTGTGTGTGTGTGTGTGTGTGTGTGTGTGTGTGTGTGTGTTTATGTTTTCTGGTTGTAATAGAAGCTCTGCCAAGTCTGGAAAATCTGGTAGTGTTCCTAACTAGAAGCAAGCATAAAAGGGGACGGTTCACTCCTGTTGGTGTTCCAGGCATTCACGCAACTGTCTTCTGTGTTTAGCTATAAGGAGAACATCATGCGCCTCTCCAGTCTTCACAAGGACCGCCCCGTGGAGCCTCTGGACTTGGCTGTGTTCTGGGTGGAGTTTGTGATGAGGCACAAGGGGGCGCCGCACCTGCGCCCTGCAGCCCACGACCTTACGTGGTACCAATACCACTCCTTGGATGTGACTGGCTTCCTCCTGGCCGTCGTACTGACAGTTGTCTTCATCGCCTTTAAGAGCTGTGTCTTTGCCTATAGGAAATGCTTCGGGAAAAAGGGGCGAGCTAAGAAAACTCACAAATCCAAGGCACACTGAGAAGTGGGTGGGAAATGAAATAGGTTGCAAATTTGCAAACAGAGAGAGGCAAGTTAAATTCATGTTCTACTTTTTAAAGAAATACTTTGCCATAAGGTGACATCCCAGAATGTTTTTTTAAAAAATAAAAAGTGATCTAATGGCTGGTCACACACATAGGCAGAGATATGTGAATATTTTTTCTGCCCTCTCCAATATCTTTAATCTGCACTACATTGTCATCTTTCAAATGATGACTTGCTAAGGAAGCTGGATGGGTTCTTCAATCTGCAATACTTTTCCTACTCAGAAATGGGGCCTATTTGAGAGCCACGGCTGCCCGCTCCTCCGGTGACAGTTATAACCTCATCTTCTGGCTTCTCTAGATGGCTGTTACTGACTCTTCAAGAACAGTGTGTGATTTCTGAGTTTGGAGGGGAAAGAATAAGGTGTGAAACTGATGGGTGATGTGTCTGAGCAGATAATCATTGCTCGTGCCAAATGAATCTGAATTTGATCAAAGCCCAAAGTACGGTGTCTGGCAAGTATATTTTCTCTGATGTTTCCCGTAACTAAAAACATATTAATAAATTCATATAAATTATATTTTAGGTGTTCTTTTTATGGATGTTGTGTTTATTTGTCATTAAACTACATATTCTTATTCCAAAAGTAATGCATGCTTCTGACAGAAAATTTGAAAAATATGGAGGTGTCACATACACACAAGGAAATTACAATCACCATTAATCATGTTCTCTTGAAGTAAGCACAGTTACTCTTTTGGCAAATACATATACTGACGAATATATCCAGTGTTTTCTAACATTCTTTCTTCACTCCAGTCTATTGTGAATGCCCTCTCCAGGTCTTTGTAGAACACTTCATTTGTTCTTAGTGGCCAGGGAGTATGCTAGTGCATGAATATACCAGGACTGATTTATCCCCCACTTCCGGGTGGATTTACTTTTCTTTTATAAAAAAGACCTCACTGAATATCCTAGTAGCTAAGTCTTTGCACATGCCTGACAATTTCTGTGGGAAAGTGCCTTACAAGAAATCAATGGTTGTCTCAGTTTTGGTTCCCTTAAGGTGAGGATTCAAGGCTCCCCCTTCCCCGATCCATGGGGTCACAGTAATGGGCTCCTGGTGGCCATGTTTTCCCTCTACAATCCCTCCCTCACCACTCCTGATTGGACAAGGAGTAGACCTTTGGGAAGTAAAGGAAACCCTGAAGGAAAGTGGGAAGTGATGACCACTGAGGGGGCGGCTCTCTGGGAGTGACAGGAGCCGAGTCCTGCTGGCTGGCTCTGGGAGTCAGTGCAGAAAACACACCAGACTTATCCCACCTGAGAGGCAAGGCCCTTAGGGAGCTGAGCGCTTGCCCCAGGTGGTGTCAATTTCCCCGCACTTCCGGTTGGCCACAAGGGCAGGCAAGGGGGGATTTAAAATCCAGAGAGAGCCTGAAGGAGACAGATGGAGGTGCAGTGCTGGAGGTCCGGCCCTGTGCACTAGAGATAGAACACAGGGGTCTGTGTGGGGCACTGATGCGAGGCTCTCCTGGGCAAAATGTCTGAGATATTCCCAAACTGAGTCCAGAGCTGTTCAATCACACTGAGAGAGTCAGGTTCCCACACCCTCTTCAGTATAAAGGAGTATCTTGGGAAAAAAGTGCATCAGTTTGATAGGCGAAAGTGGGATTTTAAGTTTGTGTTCATTATTATTAAAGGCTGAATGTTTTTCAAGCTCACGAGCCATTTGCATTTCTTTTTTGGAGACTCTCCTTTGCCTGTCTTCCTGTGGGGTGTATTAGCCTGAGGATTTGGTAAGAGTGCTCACTGCAGTACTGAGAACGCCCTTCTGACATGTGCGGTTTCTCTCCCACTTGTTTTTTGCCTTTAATTTTGTCCACACCTTTGTTGGTTTCTTTCTTTTTTTGCTTTGTGTTACAGGTAGAAGTTTTAAATGTGTAAGCTGCAGGAGGTAGGGTACAGCTCAGTAGTAGAGTGCGTGCCTAGCATGCATGAAGTCCTGGGTTCAATCCCCAGTACCTCCATTAAATAGATGAATAAAATAAATTATTCCCCCCTCCCCAAAATTAAAAAAAATGTGTAGGCTTCAAATTGGAGCTGAGGCTTTCTCCTGACTCCAGCCCCATTTATTCCTTCCCCAGGCAGCTTCTGGAACACAAGCTGTTCACACCAGTTCCCTCCCCACACTGCTGCGCCCTGTGGTGACTCATGGCCTGTGTCCTCCCTCCTTCAAGGCCCTTCCTGGTCCACTCAGAGACCATCTCCGGCCTCACTGCCCACGCTCGTTGCTGCTCCCACCCCTCCCCCCGCCTCCCCCCGTATTTCTCAGGGAGCCTGAGCTGTTCTAACCTCCCCACTAGTTCATGCTCCTTTGCACCTTTGTGTTTCTAGTCCTTAGGCCCTCTTGTTTACAGGTAAGAGACCCCAACTGGGATATCGTAAACAAAAAAGGGATCTTTTTGTGAGGCGATGGATTCCTAAGGATGCTAGGCCCATGGCCAAGCCTCCAGAGGGGCTGGGCTGAGTGGAGCCTCTCTTGCCCGCTCCCGCCCCTGTGCACTCTGGATGCCAGCTTTACCAGTCCTGGCCCTCTCTGCTCCTCAGTCCCCAGAACCCTCAGTCCTGAGACCCCATGGGGGACTGACCGGATTCTCCCCTACCCAGAGTTTCGAATTCCTGGGAGAAAGAATCTGATTGGTCTGGCTGGATCAGGTGACTACTACTGGTCCAATCAGGAGTGGTGGGGGAGGGATTATCGAGGGAAAACATGGCCATTGGGAGCCTATAACTGTGACTCCGTGGGTCAGGGAAGGGGGAGCCTTGTGACCTGGGGAGATTCCTCCAAAGGTGTCCACTGTGTGCATCCATGATTTCCTTGGCCCTTTCATGCATTTAGGCTCACAGGTTTCTAGAAATACGGTGTTTTCTTATTTTCAGTTCCCATAAAGCAGAGGTGGGAAACTCCATTGAGTGACAGACTGTAAGCGTGGCTGAGTTTATGAATTGATTGTATGCAAGTTGTATATTACTGCCACACTCAGAAGAAAAAAGTATTTTCATTTTGGAAAACCAAGCAGAGCCCACTTCATTCTCCTCCATCTCGTCCTCTTCTGTCCTCTCTAGATCATGTGTTCAGGGGCTTCTCCGTTTTTGCCACGGCTTGCCCGCTCACCTAGTGTGTAGTAAATATAAGGCCCCTTTCTCTACCCCTCCTGCTGGCCACACCTTTCACAATATGACTTTGCAGCTCTTCCTGTCGAGAGGTGGAGACTGTTTCCCCACCCCTCAAGTCCAGACCTGCTTGTGACCTGCCTTGGCTGATAGAATGTGGCAAGGTGATTGGTATAGTTCAAGTCTAGACCCTGAGAAGCCTTCATGTATCTGCTCGCTCTCCTGGAAACCTTCCCAGATGCTATGAGAACACCCTGGGCCACTCTGCTGCATGATGAGAGACACGTGTCCTGATCACCCTAGTCTCTTCAGCCAATAGCTAGACAACTGGCAAACATGAGTGTGAGGCCATTCTAGACCATCCAACCCTCATCTAACCCATCAGCTGACCACAGATGCATGAATGACTCCAGTTGTGCTTAAGGGACATAGCCCAGATCAACAGAACTACACAGCTGACCCCATAGACCTGTGAACAATAATAATAAACTGTTGTTTTCAGTCACTAAGTTTTGGGGTAGTTTGTTACACAGCAATGACTAACTAGCACATTCACTTCCTGACCCTAAGTCCATGATCTTTCATGTATGGGGTCTTTAGACCCTCAGAGGACAAAGGTGTGTCCTACCTACCTTTATATCCACCACAACATGGAGAGCCATGCTTAGCTGTGCATGGCAGGCATGCAGTCAGAGTCTGGGGGAAGGAGCTGCAACCATGTCACTCAAGTAGTTTTTGAAGGAGAAAAGAAGGCCCACAGGGGAGTTGGAGGAGGTGGAGCAGAGGGGGCTTTGAAAGAGAGGGCATGTGATAACTGTCTTCTGGTATCTGTTCCATTGTGATCAACATGTCTCCAGAGGGCAGAGTGAGGAGCGATGCATGGATTTTGTGGGGAAGAAGTGCTGGGCACTATGTAGAGGAAGCTGGGTTTCTGCTGTGCCAGGTTCCGTGAAGTAGGAATGGGCTACTGAGGGTCATGAGCTCCCTGGTATGAGAGGTGTGCAAGCAGAGGCTGAGGGGTTGCCTCTTGGCAGTGGACAAACATTGAATGGAATTTTAGTTAAGCAGTCCTGGACCTGGGGGACTCTGGGTCTTGCTCTGTTGCCCTGTAATGCATAGAGATTCAGATTTTATTGCTCAAACTGTTGATCTGGACTGTCTCTCACAGCTACAAGTGACAAGGAAATCCTTTGGGCCCCACTTTCAGTTCAGGGAAACAGAGTCACTGCCTTCCTGTCTTTGAAATTCTTTATTGTCTACGTTTTCTGCCAGTGGGCCACTCAGCCCCATCCTGCAAGCCTTCCAGGCCTTGGGTAAGGGAAGTCCTCTTCTTAGGACCCCTCTGTCATCCCTGACCCCTCCGGTTGCCCTGATCACACCTCCCCACCCTGGGCTCCTAATCACATCCCCAGGGGACTTGGCTGTGAATCGCCCCTCCCATTTCTCTTCTACAAACAGGCCACCATACCTCACTACACATGTAGGTGACAGAAGTGTTGAGTGATCACTTAATGTGGGGTTTTCATCGCAGGACCCACTCCTCAAAGCCCTGGGTTCATTGAGCTCAGGGAGGCAGTTGGATCTCAGAGTTCCAAGGGTCTGGGGCCCAACGGTGATTATTCTAGTGAAAACCTCCAACCCTGCCAGGGGACCCACTTCCCACCAGAGCTGCGACTGAGGAGCCCAAAGCTCTCACTTCTTCGTCAGCCTGCCCTGCCACCGTCTACATGACCATTGATGTATGTCAAGCAGAAAGTGGAGCTTTTTCTTGTAGTGTATTTTTATTCCGTCCAGGAGAGAACTCTGAGTAAAGGTCAGTAGTTGGGTCCTAGACTAGCCCCTTAAAGGATTTCCAGGAGGAAGGGAACACAGGACGGTGGAAGGCCCTGGGATGGAGTTTGAGAAATTGGGACAGGAGGGAAAAGGATCTGGGTGCTCACATGGACACCTGTGTTGGTGTTGTCAGCACTTAAGAAGCTGCTGGTGTCAGGAGAGCCCCTTGCAAGGAGCCGTGAGAGCTGCTGGAGTGGATTTCCAGTTAATCATTAGTTTCCAGTGGCTAGCCGAGAGGGAGGAAGGGCCCTTCTTAACGAAGTTCGGTCATCTATTGCTGTGTGACAAATCACCTCCACTTAGTGGCTTAGAGCACTTGTTTATAATCTCAGTTTGCATGATTGGATTCTGGGCATGGCTTCGCAGGGTCCTTTGCTCGGGGTCTCACAGGCTGCACTCAAGATGTTGGCCTGGCGCTGCCCTCCCTGGAGCTCTGTCCATTTTCAAGCTCGTGTGGTTGTTGGCAGAATCCAGTTCCTTGTGGCTGTAGGACTGAGGCCCTCGGTTCCTGGCCACAGGGCCCCTCCATCGGCAGTTACATCAGGGCTGTTTCCTTCTCATGGCCAGCAGGGCAGTCGCTCTCTCCAGTCTGCTAAAATGACGTACTATGTTCATGGGAGTGGGTTCTCATCCCCTTTGCCGTATTCTATTGGCTGAAATGTGGGTCTAACCAAGTCATGGGTTCGTCCCACACTCCAGGGAAGTGGATTATGCAGGGTGGGACTCACTGGGGGTCATCTTAGGGTGTGTCGACACACCGAGTATTTTACAAATCTTATCTCTGAAGAGCTTGAGGGAGAGATGGCGGAAGCAGCAATAGACTCAAATGAGGACCTGCCAGAGGCAACAGAGGACCTGGAACCTCTGGAACCAGAGGACAATGGTAAGAAAGTCACGCCCATCCCTGTACTCCTGCCTCATTTCGGCCACTAACTCCTTGAGGGCAAGTCCCAGCCAAGGTCTCAGTTTCTCCATCTGTACAGGGGTCAGGAAGGTCCCCATCTGATTGTGCCGCAGGGGGAGCTGCAGCTGGCAGGTGTCAGGGAGACTGGGGTGTAGGAACACCCCCTGTAATGCTCATTTCAGCATCACACCTGCATCACCTTTGTCTCAGGTACCTTCCAACAAGTCACAAACCTCCTCAACATCATGGACGGTGAGTCGGCAAAGACGGATGCTGCTGGGGCAGGTCCTGACATGCGCAAGATGCTGGCCTCGGTTATCATCGCGGAGAAGGCCACCACCGAGCCCTCTGTGGTGGTGAACGTGCTTGCCCGCTGCCTGCAGGTGCCGGAGGTAGGGCCTCCTCACCCTCAGCTCCTCCTCTGAGCCCGGCCTCCTGTGGCTCTTTGCACATCCGTCCACTGCTCCGCAGAAGTTTTCTGACTGTCGTAGGCAAGGGGCTAGGTGCTGGGGTCCAGAGGTGGGCAAGACTGGGAGGCGCTCACTCCTTAACCAGGTCATTTAAAATGCTGATGAGAGCCATCTAGGAAGCAAAATAGGGTGCGTCCTCTTGGACTTGCAAGAGGGTCAGTGCTGAGTCTGTGGGGGACCCTGACCACTGACCATTTGCCACTTACCTTGCTGAGTGTGCCGGACTGAAAACAGTGAAGAGAGACCGATTTGCAGGCCACACTGGCAGGGCCAGTTGAGTGAGCCTGATGGGTCGAGAGAAGGGGGAGGTGTTGGAGATGGAGGAGTCAGGGTCAAAGTCTTGGTCAGTTCAAGGATGGTGGGTGAATCTGCCCGATGGAGTATTAATCATTCTGAGCCCAATTCCAGTGTGTTGGCTTTTTTGTCCCTAACACCACCAAGCAATTCCCTGGTATTAGCTGGGTGTCCTACAATTTAACCCAATTCTGACACTATCGACCTGGAAATAGTGTCAGCTTCCACAGGTTAAGGGCTCAGTCCCATAAGACACCACTCCCCTCGTCCCAGCTTCAGACACAAGCCATAAGTTTGGCCAACTGGCTATAGATTAAAGGTTCCCATGACCCTCTCTTTGGGTTCAACTAATTTGCTAGGGTGGCTCTCAGAACTCAGAGAAACATTTTACTTACCAGAACACCAGTTCATTATAGCAAGATATAACTAGGAACACTCAGATGGGGGAGATGCAGCGGGCAAGTGATGTGGGAAAGGGCATGAAGCTTCCATGTCTTTCTGAAGGGACCACTCCACTCTCCCCAAATCTCTGCGTGTTCACTAACCTAGAAGCTCTCTGAACCCTGTCCTTTTGGGTTTTTATGGAAGCTTCATTATATAGGCTTGGCTAATTAAATCCTTGGTCATTAGCAATTGATTTAGCTTCCAGCCCCTCTCCCCTCTGTGGAGGTCAGGGGGTGAGAATGAAATTCCCAACCCTCTAATCATATAGTTGGTTCTCCCGGCAGCCAGCTCCCATCGTTAGGTGTGGACCAAAACTCATCAGCAGCAGAACACACCTCTATCACTCTCATCACTTAGGAAATTCAAGGATTTTAGGGGGTCTGTGCCAGAAACTGGACGAAGACTAAACATAAGTTTCTTCTTATAAATTCCAGGTATTTTGGAGGAGGACCAGTGGGAGGGAGAAGATGGCGACTTGGTGTGCTCGGGCGGGGCTGGGTGCATCCCAGGCCCCACTGCCCAGGCCGGGATCTTCCCAGCCACCACGCTTGTTTCCCAGATTTCTACTCAGCGCAAAGTCAACATTTACAACATCCTCCAGGAGATCATCCAGCAGGAGGGGGAGCTGGAGGAGCACTGTGTCCAGAGGCTGGTCGCCATTGCCTCCAAGGAGATGAGGGAGATCCCGGAGGTAGTGGAGCCCTGGGCCCCACCGGCGCCTGCCCCCTGCCAAACCAGGGGCTGAGTCTCGGTTGGGAGGGCCTGGGATGCCCAAGGCCTTTGTCCAGTTCCCTCTTGGGGAAAGAATTGGCTGAGGGGGTCCGAGGGAGCCCAGTGGGGTTGGAGCAGGTGCAGGGCAGAAGCTGGTGCTGGCACCACACATCCGTCTCCTGTCCCCTGCAGGTGGAGGGCTATATGGAGGCAGAGGTGGCCAGCGACACCCTGGTGGCTCTGTCTCGAAACCACTTCAGCTTGGTGATGTATGAGCTGCAGCACCACCTCAAGCCCCTCGACCTCACGGAGGAATTTGTCATCATCACCCTGGCAAAGCTGGCCAACGGCAACGGTAGGGCACGCGGGGCCTCAGCCCCGGCGTCTGGCCTCCTGCCTGGTCTCTGCCCTTGTCCCTGCCCCTTTCTGTGTCTGTCTCCTCTTATGTTTCTCAGCATTCCTTCCCTTCTTCTCTGTGTGTCTCTCTGTCTCAGCTGCTAAGATTCCTTCTCTGTGTTTCCGCCTCTCATTTCTGTGTCTTTCTTCCCCATCATTCCTTCTCCTCCAAATCGCCTTCCCCTCTCCCCCGCTGGCTCCATTCTCCTCCCTTTCTCCTTCCCCCTCTGTCTCTTTACTCCACAGACATGTGCTCAGCGCCTGCTCCAGGCAGGCCTTATGGTGAGTGCTGAGCCACAGGGGAGTAAAACACCGTGAGCAAGTAAACAAGGCTGCAGACAACCATCATACAAGAAGGCAGCCATGGAGAGAACAGCCAGGTGGCTGTTTGACATCATGATGAAGGGAGGGGGCCTCATCTCTGTGGGACCTCACTGAGGTGGCCATACTTCAGCTGTGACCTGAAGGGCCCGGTGGTGATATCTGTGTGAAGGACTGGATGAGAAAGGATGTTCTGCGTGGAATGTGCAAAGGCCCAGTGGCAGGAGAAAGCTTGGTTTCTCTGACAGCTGAGAGGTCACCATGGCTGGAGTCAGAGTGGAATTGGAGAGCTAGGCAGGGCCTGGTGGGCGTGGTGCAGTCTGGGCTCATTTGAGGGCGCTGGAAAGCTATTGAAGGATCTCATGCTGCGGAGTCGCCTGATGAAAGCTTCCAGGAAGACGATTCTAGCGGTGATGTGAATGAAGAGGTGTGGGTGGTGTGCAAATGTGAAGTGACAGTGCTTCAGACTCACTTGGTGAGTGGTGGACAGACGCGAGCAGCAGATGGGGCTCCAGTGAGTGGCCCTGCTGATGGATTGTGCGTAAGAGACACAGGAAAGGAGAAACCAAGAACTCCTAGGTTTCAGGTTAGAGTGACTGGGTGGGTTTACTTCCTGAGAGCGAGAACTTGGGAGTCAGATAAAGACTTTCTTTTGTATGTCTTGGGTTTGCATCCCTTGAGAGATGTCCAAGTTCAGAGGTCAAGGGGGCAATTAGTGTGTGAAGCTGAGTTCAGAGGGCAGATCTGGGCTAGGCCTTCCTACCAGGGTGGCCTGAGAGTTTAGGTGGTGTCCAGAGCCACTGACACCAAGGGAGTGAAAGTGGAGACAGGAGAGGGCCAGCCCCCGGCCAGAGAGCCCCACGCCTGAGAAGGCGTCGGGGGACCAGCAGTGAGATGAGGACCATGTGGTGTCATGGGGCCTGTGAGGAGGAGGGGGACTCGGAGGGGCCCAGGGGCCAGTTGTGGCCCGCCCTCCTGGGGTGGCTGGGAAGATGAAACTGGAGGGGGCGGCTTGCTGGGGATGGAGGCCTGGCCGTCAGGAGAGAGATAGGGGGAGAGCCAGTGAAGACTGGCGGGGAGAGGACTGAGGTGGCAGCTGAGGGGACTCTGGGGCGCAGGGGAGGGCGGGGCTCGCGTGTGCACCAAGGCTGGAGCCTGGAGGGGGCAGATGAGGGGTGCAACACAGAGATGGGAGGGAATCAGGAAGGGGGTTGGTGGGGGCTCAGGGGCGGGGCCTGGAGGCCAGGGTCCGTCTGTCACTCTGTCCTCTTTCTCCTCTCCCCCCCATCCCTGTTTCCCATGTCCCTCTACTCTCTTTTCTTCTGCTGCTTGTCCCCTGCCCTCACTTGCTCACTTACAGTCTGTGTTTTTCATCCCAGGACGTGTGGGACACCCAGAGGGGCTGGGAGGGGTTAAGGAAGCCTGCCCGCTGCCTCCTTCCTCCACTCTTCCTCCTCCTCATCCTTCCCTACCCCTTCCCTCCTCCTCTTTCCCACCCCCTCCCCCTTAGCCTCTTTACCTCCCAGTGACTTCCGTCCACAGCGGGGCTCCCTGGCTCCGGGGCTGGAGGTGTGGATGGTGGAGCTGTCCCCTCTGCTGACCCTCACCCCTGACTCCCTGTGACCTCTGCCCCTGGCCCACAGTGTTTGAGTTCATGCCGTACATGGGCATCACCCTGGCTACCATATTCACCATGCTGAGACTTGCCAGCGAAGCCAAGATGCGTCAGGTCATCTGCGGAGGTACGTGCCCCACCTAGGCCTGCGGGTCTGGCCAGTCAGGGTGCTGGGGAGGGGAAGCAGGGTCAGCAGGTGAGATTCCCAGGGGCGGGAGGCCAGGGAAATGTCTCCAGGTGAGGATTGTCCCGGACAGGTCTTCAATGCCGTCTACTTCTGACCACCCGGCCCCAGGTTTTGATTACTTAACATTTTTGTGGGCCCAAATCTTGGATACCTGAGAAAAGTAGGGCAAAATGTGTTTGACCTCGGCTGCAGTGGAATCCCCAGGGTGTGAGCAAAGAGCCACATTCCAGCCCTGCCACCTTGACCTCCACACATGAACTTCAAGGGCTGGGACCCAGACACACCCGCGTGCTACCCCCTGGGGGGCGTTTCACACACAGTCATGCAGGGTAAAAATCAGGGAGCTGTGAGAGGGTTGGGAGGGCAGAGAGGGAGGGGCAAAAGATTTTTCTAGCAGCATCTTTGGCCAACTCAGTAGTCCGCTAGTTGTGGGAGCACGTGAGCTCTCCTTCCTGGAGAAGACGGCCTAGGACGGCTTTGTCCTGCACCCCGCCCACCCCGGGGCTCACTGCACGTCCCCACGGGTAGCCATGGAGACCTTCTGTGAGGCGGTGCAGTTTTACCTGCGGCATCTGGAGGACAGCGTGTACCCCGTGATGACCGAGGAGCAGTTTGCTGTAAAGCTGTTCCCCATGTATCGCTATTTTGTGACCGTGTGGCTGAGGAACCATAACCCCGAGGTGAGATGTGTCCTGCTCAGGTGCGCCCCCATGGTCCCCCGGTCAGGGGGGCTGGCAGGGCTGAGACACCCCTGGGTCCAAGGAGATGGTGACCCAAGTAGAGGCAGGATCAGGAGCTTCCGATGCTGAACCCCGTGGGCCCTGGGCCTTCAGGAGGCCACTTGACCAAGGCCCCTGGAGATGCTGGTCAAGGGTCCCCGTTACACGCGTGCTGGGCGCTCTCAGGGCAGTTTACCTGCGGGACCGGCTTCCATGTCAGCTCTGTGCTGCAGGAAGTGAGGTGAAAGGTCATATTCCAGCCACCTCCCCTCTCCCCGACCTCTCACATGAACCTCAGAGGCTGGGACCCAGACACATCTCATTTTACAAGTGAGGAAGCTGAGGTCTGCCCAAGGTCACCTAAGTGACACAGCCAGGACTCATGGGGCCTCAGGGAGGCCTAGACTCTACTTCCAAGGTCGCCTGTGTCACGTGTCTTTGATTCTGTGGATGGGGCTGACATCACTGGGCCTTGCTGGGGGTCCTGGGCCAAGGGGCCTGGAGACCCTGCTTGTGTGGTAGGTGAAGCTGGGGGTCATCAAGTCCCTGAAGCCCATTCTGAGCCTCCTCTTGCCCAACGATGACCTGCGGGAGCAGGTGTACGACTACATCCCGCTGCTGCTGGCCGAGTACCAGGGCAGCCTGGAGGCGCTCTTCATCACACAGGTGAGGCCGGGTGGGCAGCGGTCTGGGCCAGAGGCTTGGGATATTTGGGGCTTCCAGGTGTCCCATGGGGTGTCTTCTGGTGGACAGTGGGGCTATGGGGCTGGGCACCTGTAGGGTTTTCAAGAAACAGATGATGCCAATCCACGTGGAAAGAGTGAGGTCCCCTTTGGGTCTTGGAGGCCATGGTGAGGTCAGTTTCCTAGGGCTGCCGTAATAAAGAACCACGAGGCAGGTGGCTTAAAGCAACAGATATTTATTCTTTCGTGGAGACTGGAGGCCAGAAGTCCGACATCAATGTATTGGCAAACTGTGCTGCTTCTGAAGGCTCTGGGGAGGGTGGGCGCGGGCGGGAATCTTGCTTCTTCCAGCTTCTGGTGGCCCTGGGCATTGCCTCACTCCAGTGTCCCCTCCATCTGCACATCTTCTCTGTGTCTCTCTCTGTGTCCTCTCCTCTTCTCACAAGGACATCAGTCATTGGCTGTAAGGCCCACCCTAAATCCGGGATGATCTCATCTAGAGATCTTTAACTAATTTATCTGCAAAGACCCTGTTTTCATGTAAAGTCACGTTCTGAGGTTCCGAGTGGATGTGAATTTTGGGGGGACACCATTCAACCCCTGACAGCTTGGAATGCATGTGAGATGGAGACTCTGCAAAATTGTATGTGGAGGTGTGACCTGGGCTGACGTTTATTGTGAAGGGGTCACTCATCTACAGACAAGAGGTGGCCCTTTGCTGTGAAAACCAGGAGCAGAAATGAATGTGACAGATTTGGGGAGCCAAACGTAAATCATTCTGTCTAAAGATTGGCCTTCACTTTCAGGTGAGTGGGAGAGAAAGGTGAAAAGGGCCTTGAATGCCACACTCAGTGACCCTGGTGCTGCCCAAGCATTACTATGTGTGGGAGTCACCTGAGGGCTGGTTGAAACAGAGTCGGATTCAGAGGTCTGGGCAGGGGCTGGGAGGCCTTATGTCTAATGAGCTCCCAGGGGATGCTGATGCATCTGGTCGATGGAAAACGTTGAGTAGCAAAGGTCTAGATTTTGACCCTGAGTTGGTAGAAGGTCATGTGTCACCACAGGTCTTGAGGCAGATCCTGGAGATGTCGGTCACCACCAACACCCCCATCCCCCCAATGCAGCTGCACACCATTTTCACGGAACTGCACGTCCAGGTGAGGCCAACAGGCTCCACGGGGCATGGCATTCTCGGAGTGGATCGGTGGGAAGCGGGCTGCGGTCGGTGGTGTGGCCGACCAGGGCCAAGGGCGAGGTGGTGGTGCAGCCCCCGTCTCGCCCACCTGCCTCCTGCATCCCTCTGGATGGGAGGTTGTGATGCTCCAGCACCTGCCCCCCTGCCCCTCGATCCAGCTTTGATCTCACCCACCCTCCCCGCACGCCCCTCCCCAGGTGTGTTCCAAGGCCCCTGCCCAGCAGCAGTACAGCAGCCGGAACCTGGCGGAGATCGTGCACTGCTTCATCGCCCTTGGTGAGGCTCCCCCAGGTCCGCAGTGAGCCTCCGGGAGCCCCAGCCCCTCTGAGCCCTGGGCCCGGGGCTGCCCCGTCCTTCTGCTCCTGCTCTGTGGGCACAATTAAAGTGGTCCTTCACCCTGCAGCCCGCTCCTACCCCAAGGAGCTGATGAAGTTCTTCCTCAGCCAGATAGAGATGAGAAACGAGGCCACCCGGGTGGGGACCCTGGCCCTGATTAGGGCAGTGGTGAGCGCAGATGGTGAGTGAGGGCAGGGAGGCAGTCGGGGTTGGTGGCGGGGGTGGGGGTGGACAGGTCTCCCCCGTCTCTAGTCCTCCATCATTTCCTCTGGGCCGAGGAGTCACAGCTCTGGGTGGCTTCACGTTTTCTACCCTTGAACCTCACCAGCTCTGGGACCCACCTCCACACCCTCACCCCTCTCTTTAAACCCTCAATCTGTTTCTACTTGAGTCTGAATTTCAAACTGTTGACTCGAATCCTAGTGTAACCCCCAAAGCTAAATCAAGGACTGAATGTAAAACCTAGTTACACCATGTAGGTGGAACCGTGAATTCCCACTGACCCAGTGCTGAACCTTAGTCTGATTCTAAATCCCTAAGTCCGAACTCTAAACCTGGCCTTGATGTTCAAGGGAAATAACTGTCTCCAGCAGCACCAGCTGCTGCATGAATTTGAACAAGGTTCCCCCTACTGGCAGCACATGGTCTTGCATGACTTGAGAAGAGCTTGGGTGGCTTCAGTTCAGCCCTTCAGCTGCGTACCCTTGCGCAGTGCACAAACTGGGCAACTGTATGTGAAAGATCTTCCACTTTCTACTGACAGTAAACCCCTCTCTTAAAGAAATGCAAATTTAAGCAACAGTGAGACCCTTTTTCCTATCTGATGGGCAGAGATGATTAAGAGTGATCAGAGCTGGTGTAGCCATTTTTCAGTAAAAGGCCAGATAGCAAAAACATTTTCAGCTTTGCAGGCCACAAGGTCTGTGACAATTACATAACTCTGCCATTGCACAGCAAAAGCAGTCATAGACTGCGGAGCGTGGCTGTGCTCCAGTAACACTATTTACGAAAACGGCTCTGGGCTAGATTTGGCCTTAGGGTTATACTTCGCTAATCCCTGGTCTAGAATTTAAGAAACCAGACTCTTAAACACTTCATTGACAGGGGTGTAAACTGATAAACGATGCTGGGTGCTCGATCAGATAAGGCCCAAAACTCGGGCTCAACAATCCAACGTTTGGTCAGTTTTCTAAAGGAAATAATCGCCCAAAGGTAACTGGACAAAGATGGTCATCATGACTTCGGGCATAAAAGCAAAACATTAAAAACAACCTGCATGTTTTTCTATAAGGAATTTGTGGAGTTAATGATAGTATATCCACATAATGGCATATTACACAGCCTACATTTTTTCGTGGAAAAGCTGCCCTTTATACATTAAGTGTAGCAATACAGAATGGGACAGTGTATACAGCATGACCGCGGTTATGTGAAAAGTCTATGTGCCTGTTTATGCACAAACAGGTTTAAAAGGACACACGAACTGTTAAGGGTGGCTACGTTTTACTTTAATTTTGCAATGAACATATACTATTTTAATAACCGGAAAAAGAGGTTTCCGTTTTGAAGATAAGACCTCTAACTGGTAACATTCTTCCTTGGTACCTGATGGCCCGTCACCTTCCACCTTGGCCTCCTTTCCTCCTTTTCCTCCATCAGCGTTAAATTCTAGTAACATCTAGCCCTGAGTGTAGCATCAGCCTGATTGCTTAACTCTAATTCCATCCATACATCGTCTCCAGAACTTCCTCACCTCCCTTAATCTTCCTCCTTCAGTCGGGGGTCCGGTTATCAGCCCTACATCCAGCAAACACACAGCACCCTCATGCACCAGGCACGGTGGCAACTCATTACTGCTCACAGCGGCTCTGCGAGGGAGGTGCTCTTGGTATCCACCTTTTACAGGCGAGGCAACTGAGGCACAGAGGGGCTAAGTAATTCACCTAAGGTCACACAGCTGGGATGTAGTGGAGCCAGGGTTTGAACCCTGGCAGCCTGGCCCCAGAGCCCAGGCTCTCCACAGCTGAGCTTTGCCACCTGTGTTTGTCCCCGGTGTGTCCAGCACCACGTGTCCAGCTGAGGGGACTAAAGAGCTCTTAGGGGGAGGCTCCGTGCTCAAGGAAAGTCCACTGTGTTCAAAAGAGACACATACAAAGCAGAGGCCAAGGGAATGAAGCAACAAAACAACGTCCCCTGGGGCTGGGGTGGGGTGGGCACCGAGAACACAGGGAGGTGGTCAGAGTGGCCTCCGAAGGAAGTGCCCCTGGGCTTGTGGGGGTGAGTCTGAGGCCCTAGGGAGGCGCGACTTGGACGAGTCCCCTGCGCCTGGCTCCCAGGCACCTCCGCAGAGCCTGGCCCTGAGGCCGACGGACCTCCAGGCAGGTTTTCCTCTTTCAGAGCCCAGAATGAATGTCAGGACCATCTGCCTGGCCATCCGGGTAGTCAAGAGCACACTCTCCGACTCCCGGTCCAAGGTAAGAGGGTGGAGACCTGGAAAGGGATACGTATGGGACCTCTGCCAGGGATGCAGAGGGACCGCGGCTGCAGCCGTCCCTGCCCTCCAGCTCCGTGTGGGGAGCCCCGGCTGCCTCCTCAAATAAGGCCCATGGATGGAAAACCTAGCTTCCCAGCCAGCACCAGGTACAGCTGGGGGAGAGGGAGGCCCATCCAAGCTGTGGCCCCTCTCCTGAGACCCTCAATATCCCAAGGACCTAGAGTTTTCCAGTGAAGGGTCTCAGATGCCACCCTGGACAGAGGAGCATGAACCCACCTTCTGGTCAAGCTGCTTGGCTGCCAAAGGGTTTTATAAGGTCTTGACCATATTTGAAAAAAGCAAATAAAGGCTAAAAATCACCGTCTTGGCACTCCTGCAACCACGGTCCCTGGAGCATAGCTTTGCTTCTGGCCCTGGGCCATGGGGGCTGCTGTTTGGCCATCATGTCCCAGAGAGGGGAGGTCCAGGATGGAGGGATCTGCACACACAGGGGAGGGAATGAGGTGTTTGGCTGGAGACGTAGGCAGAGCTGTCCTACACCTGGAAGTTGTCAAGGGAAGAGGGAACAGGCTTGATCTGTGTCACCCCCACATATGAGCTCCAGGGAGCCCAGGATAAGAGTCATGTTTTCCTTGGCAGGGCTGCCTGAGGCTGGAGCAGCTCACGTAGGGAGAAGTGTGCTCGTAGCTTCGAAGGGCTCAGACGAGGCTCCTGGGTGGGCACGCTGCCCTGGGGGACCCCCGGAGGAGGCTGTGGACAGAGTACACAGTAACCACGTGGCCCCTGAGGCCCCTTCCAGACCAGAGCATCCTTAGCACTAGCTGTCTTGTGTGCAGGATTGGTCTTGGATGCTGAGCCTCTGACCCCCAGCCTGTCCCCTGCCTTGTCCCCTCAGGTGAGGATGGCTATTCTTCGCATCATTGGCCAGTTGGTCCTGTCTGGCTTCCAGGACAGAATCAAAGGCTGGGGACTGAAGTACGTGTCTGTGCAACTTACCTTATCCACCTACAAACTGGTGAGTGGCCCTGACTAGCAGACTCTGGGGAAGCTGGACTCTGGAAGGGGTTTCCACAGCATGGAGGCAAGAATGCTGCTCGGTGTACCTGGGCTTGAACCTGCACGCATGTACTTTCAAGACACAAGTCCACGACACACACAGCTGCAGGGGTCTAGAACATGCTGAAACACATGAGCAGCTGTGGGCATCCTGGATACTCAGAATCTGAGCAACGAGCCTCACGGGGGTGAGGAGACCACAGCCAAGACCATGGCAAGGCCCTACCAGCCCACAAGCAGGGACCCCTTGTTTCCATCTTCCAGACAAATCGCCGGGAGAGCTTTTATCAGAGGGACCTGGAGGAGAAGATGGTCCACAATGTCACCATGGATACCGTGAAGATCATAACCTCTTCTGTCAGTGGGGTGACCAACGTGCGTGAGCCCCACCCACCCACCCCATGGGCTGGCCTGCTGGATCTGACGGCTCATGTCTGCCCTGTGCCGGGCTTGGGGGGAAGAATGCAGGCCCAGAATTCTGCACTCATGCTCCCATTCCCACCACCTGGGATGACTGAGGGGTCGAGCCCTGATCTTCCAAATACCTGAGAGCTTGTCTTTCAAGATTCAGTTTTAGAGCTGGGTCTTTGTGGGAACCCAGTGGCCCCAGATGCCAGGGCAGTGCCTGGCACACAGTGGACTGAAGAAGTATCAGCTGACTTATTGCCTGAAATGTTTCCATTACCTTAAAACCTCTTCAGTGTGTGTGTGTGTGTGTGTGTGCAGGCATGTACATGTGTGTGTAAATAAGTGATTTTAGTGGTGTGTGTGTGTGTGTGTAAATAAGTGATTTTAGTGGTTTAATTCCACAAACATTCAGTGAGTCCCTATTATGTAAAAGACACCAGAGTATACGCTGGGAAGGCTCAGTATTACTCCAGATTATTCGTGGGCTTTTAGGGGAAACACAGGTGTCAACTTCTAGTTGCAATACAATGTGACATAGCAATAAGATAGGAAAAATTTAACATGACAGCGTAAGGAGGGAATCATGGTCCATTAAGTGAGGCCATGGGCTAGATGCTCCTTGTCCAGTGGCACTTTATCTTAATTGCAGAAATAATAGTAATAATAATATAAATGACTGCAATCCATTGAGTGCCTACATATAGCAGGTACTGTACTAGGTGTGCAGCATCATAGAATCTCATTTAATTATCCCAACAACACTTTGAGGTAAAGTCTGTTATTACCTTGCTTTTGTAGATGAGGAAACCAAGGCTCAGAGGGACTCATTAATTTGTTCAAGGCTTCTAAGCTGGTAAATAGTGGAGCCAGGATTAAAATGCTCTTTCCAGTTCACCATGCTGCCTCCCTGGGGGAACCCAGGAGCCGAGGATTCGGCTAGAACAGGGCAAGCAACTTCGCTTGTTAGTAGCACAGGAGCTCACCCCAAACTCCGAGGGGTGGGCGTGGGGCTAAGGGGGACCAGGACTCACCGGGGGTGTTCAGTGATATCTGAGAGAAAGGGGAGATGGCAGGTGAAGCTGGGGGGCTAGAGACACAGCTCTAAGAGTCTTTAGAGAAACAGAATCAGTAGGAGATACAGATATATGTATATACATGTATGTGTATATAGTTTGCTTTATTTCAAGAAATTGGCTTATGCAGTTGTGAGGGCTGATAAGTCTGAAATTTAGAGGGCAAGCCAGAGACTCACACAGGAGCTGAGGCTGTAGTCTTGAGGCAAACTATCTTCTTCCTCAGGGAAGCCTGTTTTTCCCTCTCAACTGATTGGATGATGTGCACTCATGGTATCCGGCATAATCTCCTGGAAGTATTATGGACTTTCATCAGATTTACAAAATACCTTCACAACCACACCTAGATTAGCATCTGATTGAATAACTGGGCACACTCACTTAGCCAAAGGGACCCAAACAGGACCTTCCCAACTGGCGAGCATGGCTGGGTTGTGTGGCCCATGTCATCTCCGGAGGATCTGGGGTTAGAGGGAGGGCGCTGGTCAAAGAGGATGTGAGGGGAGTGGGGTTGGAGTAAGGCCAGCAGGCAGGGGGGTTGGGGGCCCAGCACTAGCTGACGCCTTCAGCCATGTCCAGTAGGTGCCACTCACACGGCCCTGACAGAGTGGGGCTGGCAGCAGCCTCGGGGCTGAGGTGGTCAGCGGGTCAGAGCGCGGTTCTGGAGAACTGAGGGTGAGGCAACACCATGGGGGAAGCCTGACCTGCCTCCTTGCTTGTCCATTGGTTGCCCCAGCTAATCCTGCCCCCTTTCCCCGCCGCCCAGGAGTTTTGGGTAAGGCTCTTGTGCTACATCATGGAGACCGATTACATGGAGGCCTTGACCCCCATCTGCATCAGCCTCACGAACCTGGCAGAACAGCAGCTCCACATCAAGGACGTGGAGGCCAGTGCGACCAGCAGGAGCAGGCACGGTGAGCAGCAGCCCTGCGCCAGCTCACCAGGGTGCCCCAAGCCTTGGAAGGCTTCCCCTTTCCAGGAAGCATTATGGCGTCCAAGCAGCCAGGCCAGAGGCCGCCCCTGCCATATCTAAGGAGACTGAAATTGTACAGAGTTCCTCAGGAAGATCATTCCTCACGTCCCTGCCCTCTGGCCCAGGCCCCACCTGCAGAGGGCCTGGCTCAGGCTCTCTCCAAGTGTGACCTCTCTGGGCCTCGGTGAGCCAGCTAGAGGAGTTACAGACATTCCCATCTGACTCCTCTGAAACCAGCCCCACTGGGGTCCCCTCAGATTGAGCACATTAACACCAGACTCTCAAGAAAATGACCAGGCTGACCTACTTATGGATGACACCAGTGTCACAAGGGAATGGCTCTCAAGGGCCTGGGGCATTGTGGACGGGCATGGCCAGTGACCAAAGGTGACAAGGAGCCTTCCAGGACCCAGGAATGGTGAAGGGCGGAGGCTGCTCTGAGCAACCAGCTAGGCTACCCTTTTAGGGCTTCCTCAAACCCCACCCCGACTCTGGGGCTGGGTCCTCTCCTGGGCTCCCCACATGCAGCTTCTCGGCAGGCCTGGCCCTCCCTCACCCACAGGGCCAAGTGCTGTGAGTTTACTTCTCAGGGGTTCATTGCCTCCCAAAGCCAGCAGAGGGAGGTGAAGTGAGGTGATGGGAGACAGACTCTCCCCTAGTGGGTCCTGGTGTCCATTACAAAGCGGGCGAGTCCTGAGAACACTATCTTCTAAGCCCTAGCCGATACGCCCTCCTCCAGCATAAGCCAATTCTAATGTTCTTTGTGGAAAGTCCCCCGTGCTGACCATCCTCCATTCTGGGGCAAGGGGATGCTGTCGGGAAGCACCTTGCAGGGCAAAGCACGCCTGAGGGCACAGGAGCACGTGCTGGGATGGGCTGGGCAGCTTCAGCAGAGGTCGCATCTTCTTCCTCAGTGGACCTGCCCGCACCGCAGAAGCTGCTGGCCCGTCTCCTGGTGAGTGGCTCACTTGGGTCCTGGACTCCTCTCCCTTGAGCACCTAATTCCCGGAGCCTCCGGGGAGAGGAGGGAGCTGGAAGCCTGACAGGCAGAGCTTTCCAGGTCTCTGTTGGCCCTCTGGGGTAGATGTGGCTGGGGCACTATGCTCCCAGATTCCTCTGCTTGGCCTTTGAATGGTCCCAAAGCATCCCCAGGACACTGCCTGTAGCCTGCCAGTCCCCAGGGGATTGGCTCAGTCCTGCACCCATGCGTCCTCCTCCTTGTGTTGACCCTGGACACCAATCCCTACTCCATGGAAGCCAAGGTAGGGAGGGAGCCCACAGTCTCCCCTCTCATCTCCTTTCCTCCCTGCAGCATCCTTTTGGGGGATGCTCTGATCCCCGAGACTCTGTTTGAAAACAACCCAACCTCTCCAACTCTCCCCTTTATGAGCATGCATCCAGGTTGAGGAGAGAGGGCCTGGGGCTGCCCAGCCCGGGCACAGCCCCCTGGTGTCTTGGTGCCCTCCAGGTGCTGATGTCATCCCCCTACAAGGGGGAGGGCCGTGGGATTGCCATGCTCAACCTTCTGAGGACCCTGAGCCAGAGCATCGCACCCTCCATGGCCAACATGTGGGAGCTGGAGATTCCGCTGCTGGTCAAGTACCTGGAAGGTGAGGTGCCCGAGTGTGTACCTGAGCCTGCCCCCATCAGTGTACTCGCTGGGTACTGATCACATGACCTGATCAACAGAAGCCAAGGCTCCCGGGGGCTGGCACAGTGTATTTCAGTCCTTGGGAAGGTGGGGAGGAAAATGCTGAGTGGTGAGCCCATCTGCGGAAGTCCTCAGTCACCTGCTGAGGAGGCGACCTGGGGTGGGGTGGAGGAATCAGGAGACACTAGGATGTGTGGTCCTTCTCTCTGCAGAACATACTGAGTTTACTTGGAATCAGAAGACTTGGGAGGACAAGCTGATTCAGGTAGAGGAGACCCCACCTGCTGAGGCCAGGGTGGGGAGACAGGGCTGGGGGAGGGCTCCCAGTGGGGTTGGTGGGTGGGGAGTTTAGAGGCCCCTAAGGGACATATTCTCTTTCTGTCAGAGGACTGGGGGAGTACACACATGTCCACAGCAGGAGAGGACAGAGAGCTTCCACCCTGGGGACCCAAGAGTCCAGGAAAGCAGCACAGGGTGGCAGCCCTCCCGCCAGTCCCCAGCCCACAAAACAGTAGCCCTATTTGGGTTAAGTGGTCTAGAGATGGGAGGAGGGGGCTAGAACATGGCCCACCGATGTCTTCTGTCTCCCCAGTTTCTGAGAAACTCCCTCAAGAAAACTCGGGGTTCCAACTGGAGCCTGCGCCTGGGCAAAGAGCTGAACAACCAGATCGAAAGCTTTGACAGCCCCTCCCTGGAGAAGGTTGGTTCCTGGAGGCAAGGCAGTCCAGATAGGGAGGGGCTCCGGGGACAGTAAACCGGAGAGGGTCCCGTGGTGTGTGTGAGGCCAGCTGTATCTGTGGCTGTCCACAGGGTCCTGGGAGGAAAGGCTGGTCTAGACTAGAGGGTTTTAGTTTTTGTTTTGTCCTGTTTTTCCTTAAGAACCTGCTTTGTTGGAGCTGGGACTCTCTCCTCCAGCCACCAGTTTCCCCTTCTTCTCACTTCACTCCTTTCAATATAACAAGTTTTGTCAGCAGAGTCAATAGGCAAGGAATGAGATGTCTGAACATGTTTTGGTAAATAGCGAAAAGGGTGAGGATGACATTTAACCACAAAAGGTCAATGAGGGAAGAAGATAAGGCCTGGAGAGGGGAAAAGGAGTGGGCAAGCTGGGATTTGGAGCTGGACCCCCAACTTCTAGAGCAGGACACCTATCAAACCACGCTGCACACCCTGTCCCCACCCCCACCCTACAGATTAGTTTCTCACCCCGAATCATCCAGCTATTAACTCATGACCCCCACATGTGTATATTCCATTCTAAAAGGGTCTTCACAAAATTATAAACATTGTTGAAAATCAGAGATGATCTCAACCAATGGGAAACATTTCATGTTCATGAATTGAAAGATAATATATTTAAGATACATTAAGAGCGTGACATCCTTCATTTATCTACAGATTCAGCATGATCAAACATGATCCTTACCATAATCTCAGCTGGCCTTTCCCCCCCAAGATTGACAAGGTGGTCCTAAAATTCATAATGTAAGGGGCCCAGAGTAGCCAACACAGTTATGCTTGAAAAACGAAGTTGAAGGGCTCAGGTTTTGCAATTTGAAGACTTCTTACATAATTGCAGTACACAAGGGAGTGTGGTACTGGCATTAGGATAGGTAATAGACTGATGGAATAGAATTGAGAGTCTGGAAAGAAACCTCACATTTCCTGTCAGTTGATTTTCAAGAAGAGTGCCAAGACAGTTCAGTAGGGAAGGAATAGTCTTTTCAACAAATGATGCTGGGAAAACTGCATGCCCACTTACAAAAGAATGAAGTTGGACCCCTTCCTCACACCATCCACAGAAATTAACTTATAATGGATCATAGATTTAAATACAAAAGCTGGAACTATAAAACTCTTAGAATAAAACATAGGTGGAAATCTTCATAACCTTGGCTTGGCCAAAGCCTTCTGAGATGTGACACCGAAAACACTGAGTGATGAAAGAAAAATGAGATAAATTGGACATCAAGACTGAAAACTCTTACGCTGAAAATGGTACCATAAAGAAAGTGAAAAGATGACTCACAGAATGAGAGGATATATGTGCAAATCTAGTTCCTGATGAGGACCATGTATCTAGAATATATGAAGAACTCTTACAACTCAATAATAAAATGACAAATAAGCCAATTAAAAATGTGCAAAGGTTTGAGTAGATAGTGCTTCAAAAAAGATACACAAATGGCAAATAATCACATGAAAAAATATTCAGGATCATTACCATTAGGGAAATGCAAGTCAAAACCACAACAAGATATTACTCCACACCTACAAGGATGGCTATAATAAAAAAGATAATAACAAATATTGGCAAGAATATGGAGAAATTTGAACCCTTCTATATTTCTGGTGTGAATACAGAATGGAGCAGTGTTTTTGTAAAGTAGTTTGACATTTCCTTGATATGTTAAATATAAAGTTACCATATGATCTAGCAATTCTGCTCTCAACTATATATGCCTAGGAGAAATGAAAACGTATGTCCACACAAGAACTTGTACATGAATGTTAAGAGCATATAACCAAAAAATGGAAAAATCTCGAATGTTCATCAGTGGGTGAATGGATAAACAAAATGTGGTATATCCCTACAATGGAGTCTTATTCAGTCATAGAAAGGAATGATGTCTTAATATATGGTACAAAAGGATGACCTTTGAAAACATGCTAAGTGAAAGAAGCCAGGTGCAAAGGAACACAGAGGACCACACATGGTATGATTTTACTTATTTGAGATATCCAGAATAGGCAAATCCATAGAGACAGAAAGTAGGTGAGTTGGTTGGCAGGGACTCGCGGGCATATGCAGTGATTGCCAATGGGCACAGGGTTTCTTTTTTGGGGTGATGAAACTATTCTAAACTTGATTGATGATGGTTGCATAGTTTTGTGAATACGCCACCGAATTTGTAAACTTTAAATGGATTATTTTAATGGTGTGTAAATTATATCTCAATAAAGATGTTTAGAGAAAGATTTTTACAGGCGTCATTTAAAATTTGCATTTGTTCAAATGTATACCCTTCATAGCTGAGTACATAAAATAACAAATAGTAAAGTATATCTTCTATATCTAAATGCTATAGAGGTGTGGGTATAAGGTTTTGTCAGATGTCCATTTAAGGCCAAATGCCCATTTGAAAGAAACTTGTAATTAATATTTAATAAGCAAATGCTTGTAATTTAACCACATTACAGTAATTACCTAGTTTCAGGAAAGTAAATAAATAAATAGGATTTTATTGGCTCAGATAAGTTAAAAAGTCATGATTAAATACAGTGGCTTAAGGAATTTCCTCAGGACTCTCTCAGTCTCTTCGTCGCTCAGACTGGCATCTTCCAGGTAGGGGCAAGATGGCTAATGTAATGTCCAGACTTATTACCCCAATAGATTGTCATTCCCAAAATTAATATGCAGAAATCATTATCTTTCCTGTATACAAATACAACAGAAATACAATGTAACGAAGAAAGATCCTAGTGAAAGAAGCAACACACACACACACACAAACTAAGAAAAAAATGTAAAAAAAAGAAAAAAACATAGTAGCAACACAATGTAAAAATTTATAATCAAATAAGATAGCAACAAGATGAAATATATGGAACCAAAGTGAAGAACTCCAAATCACAAGGAGAGGCCAGAAAGCTGCCTGATAAAATTAACACCACGTCTGGTTCTTGGATAGGAAGTCTCAATGTTGTTTAGGTGTCCTTTTTTTCTCAAATTAATTTGCAATACAATTTGTTCCCAGTCAGATTCCCAAAAGGAGTTATTGTGGAAATGTGACAGTTTTACGGAACTTGACAAGATTATTTCCAAGTTCATCTGAATGGAAAAAAAACAAAAAAACAAACAAAAAAAGAAAGACAGTAGCTAAAAGCACATTGAAAATGCAGCTTGTGTTTGTGCTCCCAGAACAGATCAAAGATGTAAGTGTACAAAATGAAATACAACCAGGGACCAACTAGAAGAATATGTTGATGAATATTTTTGTAATCTTCATGTGGAACAGGCCTTCATATGCGTAAAAAGAAACCAAGAATGACAAAGGAAACAAAAGAGGCTGTACTCTATGAAAATAAAAATGTTCTGTGTGACTGAACAACATCAGTTTGAATAAATTAAAAGGGAAATGAGACATTGGGGAAACATACCACTGAGAGGGATCTGCCAGCTGAGGCTCCTGATACATGGTCATTAAGAAAAGAGCCTATGAAAAGACAGCCTACAGGAAGGGAGAAAATATTTGCAACAATGCGACTGACAAAAGGTTAACATCAAGAATATACGAACAGCTCATACAATCCAATACTGAAAAAAACAGACAACCCCATAAAAAAATAGGCGGAAGCCCTAAATAAACATTTTTCCAAAGAAGACATACAGATGGCCATCAGGTACATGAAAAGATGCTCAACATTGCTAGTTATTAGAGAAATGCAAATCAAAGCCACAATGAAGTATCACCTCACACCTGCCAGGATGGCCATCATCAAAAAGTCTACAGATAGTAAATACTGGAGAGTGTGTGGAGAAAAGGGAACCTTCCTACACTGTTGGTGGGAATGTAAATTGATGCAGCCACTATGAAAAACAGTATGAAGTTTCTGTAAAAAAACTGAAAATAGAGCTACCATAAAATCCAGCAATCCTACTCCTAGGTCTATAGCCAGAAAAAAATGAAAACTCTAATTCGAAAATATTTGTACACCCTCAATGTTCATGGTGGAACTATTTACAATAGCTAAGACATGGAAACAACACAAGTGCCCATCAACAGACAATTGGCTTAAGAAGATGTGGTATATACATACCATGGAAGATTACTCAGCCATAAAAAAGAACGAAATATTGCCATTTGCAGCAACCTGGATGGACCAGGAGAATATTATACTAGTGAAGTAAGTCAGACAGAGAAAGACAAATACTATATGATATCATTTATATGTGGAATATACAAATGAACATATCTACAAAACAGAAACAGACTCACAGATATAGAAAGCAAACTTACGGTTGTCAAAAGGGAAGAGGGAAGATGGGGGAGGGATAAATAGGAGTATGGGGTTAATAGATACAAACTACCATATATATAATATATAAGCAACAAGAAGTTACTTTATAGCACAGGGAATTATATTCAATATCTTATAATAACCTATAAGGAGACATAATTAGAAAAAAAATCTGAAACCCTATGCTGCCCACCTGAAGCTAACACAACATTGTAAATCAACTACACTTCAATAAAAAATAAATGAGCCTCACACCATGCTTGATTTTAAATCCTGCTTCCACCAGTTTCTGCGAGTTTCCTCATCTCCAGATACAGTAATCACATTTACCTTACAGAGTTGTCATGTGGATTACCTGAGCTGATAGACGTTTGTTCTTGTTATTTTTCCAAATATACATACGATGTTCTTACAAACAAAAAATAAAATAGGGGAAATAATCCAACAGTGGGGAAAGAATATAGGCAGAAATTCAAAGAACGGATCATGAGAAGACGCAAAGGTGGCTAATCAAAGAAACAAATCAAAACGCGAATGCTCCACCTTCAGTGATAATATCCTAAGTCAGAGAGAATGTGGGAAAACAGGTGCTCTTAGACGTGCTGGTGGGAGTGTAAACTGATTCAACTTATATAAGAGAGAAACCTGTCCCTCACTATTTGTAACATGCCTGCCTTTGTACAGTCCAACCCCCAGAATAACCTGAATGTGGTTTCCTTTAAAGGATCTACAAAATGCATAATGTCTGCCCTTTCTTTTTTTTAAACCTAGAGGAATGGGTAGCCAACTCCCCATGGCAGTGACCCCAGAGTGGGGCGGAGTAGGAGGCCTCATGCTCGCTTCCTCCCTCTGCCTCTCCAGGGCTTTCTGTACCAGGCCTTGGGCTTCACCTTGGCCATGGGCCTGGAGGCTGACAAGGTGGAGGTGCAGCTGCTGGAGCTGCTCTACAAGACAGACTACAGCAATGACTTTGACCGGGAGGTGAGGGTGCCCTGCAGTCCCCTCTGGACCTTCAGGGGACGTGGTGTGTGCACGCATGTATGTGTGCATGTATGTGTGCACGCGTGTATACGTGGCATGCAGGAGTGTTTACCTGTGCGTGTGTGTGCATGTGTATGGGGGCGCTCCTCTCCTGCCCCTGCCTGCTGCCCTCAACCTGCCCGGCTGGGTGTCCCTGCAGGGTGTGATTCTGTGCTTTGGCCTGTGTGCCCGGGGCCAGGTGAAGACAGTGCTGAATGTTTTGCATGTCTTTGAGGAGAGGATCCAGGAGTCGGAGCAGTACTGGCAGATCGGCGCTTGGCGGGTGAGGCACTTTGCTCCACAGTCAGGTCCGGGGGGCCTCTTAGAACGATGCTCTCCGCATCCAACAGAGGCTCTTGCTAGATTTCAGTAAGGAACTCCCGCCGTGTGTCCTTCACCAAAGTGGCTGAGATCCGGAGGCTGCCTCTGACAAACCTTTTGCTCTCGGATTATCTGAAGAACAGGCTGGGCCTTTCCCAACCCAGAGATTATAAAGGAGTCCCAGCTCCTGGCTACTCGTGGTGGCCCCCTTTGGCCAGCAGCAGGGGTCTTTGCAGGCCTCACTCCAACCCCCTGGATCTGAAGCTCCCAGGTGGTGCCCAGCAGGTGCTTGCCGTGTGCTGGGAGCTCTGCCTCAGTGAGTCAGTGGAGCTGGGATGGGAGGGGCTGTAATGTCCACTGTCCTACAAGTGAGAGCTCAGAAGCAGGTTCAAAGGCCCGCAGCGGACCAGTG